GCTGCTGATCAGTTTCATGTTGCTGCTGATCAGTTTCATGTTGCTGCTGATCTGTTTCATGTTGCTGCTGATCTGTTTCATGTTGCTGTGTTCATGCATGCTCATCTGTTCACACAGACTCATGTCTGTGCTGCTGTTCTGCGTATTGTGTTTAATGTTTTTATGCTCTTAGTGCTTATGATATATTTAGTTGATGTTTTTCTTAGTTCATATCTTAGATCTTATTACTGTTTTTATTTTATATTTTATTGTTGGATGTAACTGGGACCCTGTGAACATAATTTTGATCCACCACATGGACCACATGAGGTGCGAATGACAAAGAATAACTGGCATTTGTAAATAAAATGTAAAGCACAGCTCGGGTGTCTGCACGGGTGAAGGTGAACGGTGTCACAGCTGTTTTGTTTGTTTGTTTCTCCACTTATTTTCTTTTTCTTTTTGTATCTGCTAACGCATTTCTTCGTCATTCTTTTTTTTTTTTTTTTTTTTTCTCATTGCTTCTTTACCACCCAACAATCATTTACACACAAGCCCACAAGTACACACGCACACACACACACCTCATAAGAGAACACACACGGACACCTCATATGAGAACTTCATATCTTTCCACCTCAACAACATCCAGCATCTACTCAATCTTCTGGTATCTTTCCACTTCCAACATCACTGTTTGTGAAGATCTAAACAGGCTAGCTCAAGCATTAACTCAGATTTTATTTAGATCTATTTGTATCCATGGTGACATGCACTGGTCAACTTTAACTACGCACGTACAAGTATGGGCACAGTAAGGTTTGTAACTTGGAATGTTAATGGAACCAGTACTCAACAAAAAAGATTAGGAATCTTTAACCAGCTTAAAAGATTACAGGCAGATGTTGTCTTTTTACAAGAGATTCATAAATCTACGACAACTGCAGATGATCTTAAATCAACTGATTTTCCCAATGTGTTTTGTGCCTGCTATAACTCAAGACAAAGAGGAGTAGCAATATTAATACACAAAAATGTTAACTTTAAAATACTAGACACAGTCACAGATCCAGAGGGTAGATATTTAATAATAAAACTTCATATAAATAACTATAAGTTGTGTATTGTCAGTATATATGCCCCAAATGTTGATGACACCTCTTTTTTTCATGATTTTTTCTCAGCACTTTCTGATCACTTGGATTGCTCACTTGTACTTGGAGGTGACCTCAACTTTGGTCTAAATGAAGAATTAGACAGATGTAGTAGAGCACGAACTCAGCGTAGTTGGCAGTCCATAAATATAGTTAAACAGTACATGAGTGATTATGGACTTTGTGATGCATGGCGATCTCTTCACCTGAATCGTAGAGAGTATACTTTCTTCTCTTCTGTCCATCACTCTTACTCTCGTCTGGATTATTTTTTAGTCAGCAGCTCGTTGTTGACGGACATCTCGGACACTGAGATTCACCCTATAGCTGTCAGTGATCATGCTCCTGTCTGTTTAAATCTAGCAAACAGAAAAGAAAACCCTAAAAGTATAAACTGGAGATTTAATACATCACTGCTTGAAGATGTAGATTTTATCAAATATTTTACAGAAGAGTGGGCTTCATATCTGGAGTACAATGACGTGCCTGGAACATCAGCATCTATTCTATGGGAGGCAGGTAAAGCTGTAATGAGAGGTAAAATAATTTCATTCTCATCACAAAAGAAGAAAAAAGAAAATAAACATATTCAGGAACTAGAAGAAACCATTAAATCGTTAGAAGCCTCTCAAGATGAAGAAATGCTGGATAAAATGCGTAAAGCAAAATTGGAATTAAAAGAATGTATTAACAAAAAAACTCAATTCTTAATACAACGACTTAGAATCGAAAATTTTGAACAGAGCAATAAGTCAGGTAGCTTTCTAGCTAAACAGCTCAAAATAAATAAGGAAAAAACAACTATAGTTGGTGTTAAAGACTCGACTGGGAATACAGTTTACGATCCTGAAAGAATTAACAGCATTTTCAGAGATTTTTATAAAGACTTGTATTCGCCCCAGATAAACCCATCAGATAATGAAATTAATGAATTCCTGGATAAAATAACACTTCCTAAACTATCAGATAGTCAAACAATGGAGCTGGATTCACCACTGACACCAGTGGAACTCCAGGAAGCCCTCAAAAGCATGTCCAATAAAAAGGCTCCAGGTCCAGATGGATTCCCAGCAGAATTCTATAAAGAATTCTGGAATATCCTGGCTCCACTATTTCACAAAATGCTACAAGAAACTGAGAAAAATAACAGTCTTCCAAAAAATATAAATTCTGCCAACATTAGTCTCCTGTTAAAACCAGGCAAAGATCCTGTATTACCTACCAGTTATCGTCCCATATCTCTTATCAACGTTGATCTTAAAATAATTTGTAAAGCCCTCTCAAAAAGATTAGAAAAGGTAACTCCTCTAATAATACATCCAGACCAAACTGGTTTTATAAAAGGGAGACATTCATCCACAAATTCACGCAGGTTATTTAATTTAATAGATTATTCTTACAGTAAAAATATTGAAACTGCAATATTCTCTCTAGATGCAGAAAAAGCTTTTGATAGAGTTAACTGGAAATTTTTATTTGCAGCCTTACATAAATTTGGTTTTGGAAATTATTTCATAAATTGGTTACAAATATTATACAGTTCTCCATCAGCATGCATTAGGACAAACAATCAAATATCTGCTAGTTTTGCTCTGCAAAGGGGAACCAGGCAGGGATGTCCACTCTCCCCCTCACTGTTTGCTATTTTCATCGAACCGCTAGCCGCAGCAATCAGGCAAACTACAGATATTAAAGGCATAAAATGCAAGAACATAGAGCACAAAATCAGTCTATATGCTGATGATGTGCTGCTCTTCCTCTGGCATTCACAAACCTCCATCTCTCAGGTTATTGGACTGATAAACTCCTTCTCAAAAGTTTCAGATTACTCTATAAACTGGCTAAAATCCACAGTTCTACCAATTAATTGCTCTTTCAACAATTCACTTACTACACAACTGCAATCAGGGAATATTACATATTTGGGTATCAAAGTTTCGCCTAAATTAGCAGATTTAACAAAACTAAACCACACCCCACTTTTAAAGAAAATTGAGGATGATCTGGCTAGATGGAAATCTTTACCCATATCTCTCATGGGAAGGATCGCATCAATAAAAATGATGGTTTTGCCTAGAATAAATTATTTATTCTCAATGATCCCAAATAAACCATCATCTGACTGGTTTAGATCCCTGGACTCCTCTATTTCTAAATTTCTGTGGAAAGATAAACCCCCACGTATTAAACTAAAAACACTACAGAAATCCAAAGATAAAGGAGGACTAGAATTACCCAACTTTTATTATTATTTTCTAGCCAACAGGCTAGAATACATCTCAAGATGGAT